CCCCCCCCCCCCCCCCCCCCCCCCGCTGACGACTTGGGCAAAGAGGTACTTCGTAGTCGTAACTAGGAGCAGACAATGGCGAAGGTGTTTGAAGGGTGTTATCAGCGGTTGGACGCTTGGCTACCGACGAATAGTAAACTTGTTTTTGGGACTTGCTGTCAGCGGCAAGTGCAGCAGACCACAGGGGAGGTATGGAGATGTTGCCTTTTGTGGTCGTAAACTTGAGGGTAGCGGTCGAACAAGTTGCTGTTGTTGTTGCAGCTCTGTGATGGTTGTTGTTGCTGTTACTGTCGGCGATGGTGTTGCTGCTGTTGTCGATGTTGCCTTCATTGATGAAGTCGTTTTTTGCTCCCATACCCGTTGCTGTTGTTGTTGCTAGGGCTTTGACGGTTGTCATCGGCACTGTCGTTGTGATGGTGATGGCAGACTGGAGTCTGTTGTGTCCTTTATGCCGTCGTTGTTGCTGCCGCTGTTGCGTTTGATGGTGCCTTTGCGTCCATGGCACTTGAACGGATCCGCGTTTCCGACCCCAACAGGGTAGAAATAAAGCATCTGGAGGAGAGCCGGCGAAGAGAGCTGTGCTGCGCGAGCTGCAATAGAGGCGTCGCGTGGGAGGGGGACGTTTTCACGCTCCCCGGGGCAGAAGGCGTGGTCGGCGCGTACGTTAACCCCACGGGCTACGTCCACCAGGTGGTGTTATTGTTATTCTTATCATCGGGAAAGACGTCAGTCTCAGTGCGGTTGAAAACACAAAACACTCCTAAATGCCATCAACTGGGACCCCGTGACGTGTGTGTGTGTGTGAGTATTGCGGTGGGTTGTGCAATGCGGCGTGTGGTGAATTGGTTCACCTCTGATTTCTGGGGCGCGAGTATGAGGGAAACAAGTGTTTTTTCGCATGGCATATGCGTTTCACGGCCAGGCAGGGTTCGTTTGTTTGGTATTGGGAGTCGGGATTGTTCTTGCCCCTCCCGGCCGTGCGTGGCTTGCGGCGATGAACCAATGCCTTTCGATGGATGAATGCTTTCGGCAAATACCGCTACCAGGTAGCGCGCCTTGTCTCATCTCTCGATTTTTTTTTGCATCTTTTAGCCGATCGACCTGCGACTCATATTTCTCGTCGACCTTTTTTTCAATCAATCGCCCCATGCATTAAAAAACGAATCGCGAAAAAATGGCTGGGGGAACTCCGGCGAAGACGGTTACCGTGCGCGACGCCCGGAACCTCGTCCTGGTGGGCATCCCGGAAGAAGAGGTGAGTGGAGGGTCATTGGGCGTGGTCGTTTAAGGCCCTGGCCGTCGTACGGCGATGGTATATGTTAGTTGCTGTGGGTGGTGGTGCCGGTGGTGGTTCTGTTGACGTTGTGGGTTTGTTATTACTGGTGCTGTTGTCGTTGCTGCTGATGCGGCCTTGACTCATGGGACCTCGGTGGCGTCTACTGACTATATTCCTGAGTGTTCTACGCTGGTCTGCCCGTGGGTACGGGACGGAGGTCTGTGGTTGACAGGTTGGAGAAATACAACGTCCAGCAACGTGACTAGATCCAGGTTGTCGAGACTTTGCGATGAAATTCCCGGGGCACCAAGAAAAGCGATATGAAAACGACGGTATCGCAACACTGCCGAAATCGGGGTAGATAAGCGGGCAGCTCTCTACACATGTAGATACCGTTCGATTTACAGCGACGCCGTTTGCGTTGGGAGAAAGGTTGAGAACTCGGATGATTCCGACGCAGTTGGATCTGTTTCCCGTTCCGCGGAGTCCGTCTGTTTGGCTCGGTGTCCCGGTGTTGCCAGTGCTTCACGCGAGTGATTCAAGGACGTGCGGGAGAGTCCTAGTACTGTTGCACGCAGATGCACGTAATGCTTGTCAACAACACCATTGCATTACACCCCGCTCACCCTGCACACTCTCTTGAATCGTGAGGGCGATATCTCGCCTGAGACAGCCTCTTGCGCAACTTGGACTATTTGGCCACGCGTCCATGATGACATGTTGCCTGTACACGGTCGTGCCTCTCTCGCCCCCCCCCCCCCC